TCCATCAGCTCTCCAGCTCCAACATCCAGTGTGGGAAAACCCTACAGACCCTGGGGGATGGAGATAGGAGCTTTCTGACTGATGTGAAAACTTCATCACAGTCTACATATAGATTAAACTCGCTGCCCAGCTGTGCTGGACTTTCAAGGACAAGACTTTCTATTTTCTCTGCTAAGAAACTGCTATTTTTTCTATGATGTCGACATCCCACAGAGGATAGCTGTAGGATTTTTATTTCCTTGCTAATGTTTTGTATAGAAGAAAAACCAGTGAAGAGGGAGACCACAGCAAGAAAGCAACAAGTGATTTATTGTGTTGATTGATCTCTGTCCCTGCCCACCCCTTTAGAAGTTTCACCCACTGCTGTCAGCCTATCAGGAACGGCTTTCCCAGATGGTCAAATAGTCGCTGCCTATCAAGTTCCTGGGTGAAACTGACCCCCCTCCTTTGTTGTCTTCCTGAGCTGAAACACCCAGTGTTGAAGCCCTGGCTACAGAGAGGGAGGTGTGGAAGGAGGGCGTGAGGTGACGGAGAGTCACCCTCTTTTACAGCATTTTATAGGGTGGAATAACCAAAACCAGGTGTGTGTTTGACTGAATACTGGAAACAGACGTTATCTACCAGCTCGGTTGAAATATGATTTATCCATAACCTCTGCTGTTCACACGGTTTAAACTCCCTTCCTCAAGTTATACTTGCCACTTTTTTTTTCCTCATCTAAATGATGTTATGAGGATTTTTATCTGCTTGTCTGCGAGTTATTTTCTTGTACTTGTTCAACATAGCAACATTGTCAGTCAGTATTTACTAAAGGGGAGTTATTAAAACTAGTTACTAAAGCAGGTCAAAGCAGCTGCAGTAAAACAATTGTCCTTAGACATTTTGAAATCCTAATCTATCATTTCCATTTGATATTCCTTGTAAATCTCACTGAGTTTGTGTATTTTATGGTTGTACAGAGCAAGTGAACACTCACTGAGATTTTCAGCCTTTCACACTTGTTGCTGGTGGTAATGACAACTTCCCTGTAATAAAAGAGTTCAGATAAATCACCTGTGGCTTTATCACTGTGTTTTTATGTGAGTGAAAGTGCATTTGCATGTCTGTTTATCAAGTGCGTATGAATGTGTGGTTTTTTTGTGCATGTACCAAATGTGCCCTGCGATTGTTTATGTGAGTGTGTGCTCACAGTACATGGCGACGCCTGGTATCAGATGAGGCTGCTTGTTTCTCTCAGCGGCCCTCTGTGTGTGCACAGGAAGCCATTAACAAGGAGGGGATATCCTTGACAATAGCAGCCCGGCTGGCCCCATGCGCTCCATGGGAACTAGGGGAGGAGGAAAGAAAGAGGGAGGGAAGGTTGGAATCAGATGAAGAAGGGGGGATGGAGCAGAGATGGAGGGGGAAGAAAGAAAAGGAATGGGGGATCAAAGGAGAGAGCAGGAGAGAGGGACTTAAAACTGTGAGAAAGGAAATGCGCAGAGAACCGCTTTGTCTCTTTGCCATCATTTCAGCTCACACCAGCTGCACCTTCTGTTCTCGGCTCCTACACACCGTCCTCTTTTCTGCTGTACCAAATGTTTACTCACGCACCAACATATCCCTTGTGCTTTCATATGCTTCTCTTAAATGCCCCCTCCCTCCTTCTTCTTTGGCCTCTCTCATCATTCTCCTTAACCTTTCCTTTTATTACTGAGGATGATGCAGGGCCAGGTAGTGATGTAAGCTTCGCTGCTGCCAAAAGCACAGTGAGATTTTTAGAGAAGACAACTTGTCTTTTGTCTCCCTCAGCTGGTCCTAAGTGGAACTTCATCAACACAGGTCGTGGAACAGGATAGTTGTGGGAAAAGTGCTGATATTGTTTATTTAAGCACAAGTAGCAGTAACACATTGTAACAGTGTTCTGCTACAGATAGGATTCTGGCAGACAGAATTTTACTTAGACAAATGGCTTAAATCAAAAGTAACTATACAAATTATGCAGAATGGCAACTTTGATAATGGATAACTATTACTGAAGAATTTTTAATAAGTATTTTAATGTCAAGGTGGAGATTATTTTTATAGCTTCATATAGTGTAGATCTCATTAAAAATTTTGTGAGTAAAGGTATGGAGATATTTCATGGTATCTTTATTGAAGGGACATACTCACATGCTTGTACTTTATGCAAGTAAAACACTTGCACTCAAGTAAAATTGATCAAAATCAGTAAATGTACTTAGTAGCCAGTGACCTCCTTCTATGTTATTATAGCATTGCTGAATGTTTTAAAATGTCTTCCACATAACAAGTTGCCACTTGGCATTATCTCCGGCTCCTCTTCTGGTAACTGGCTGTTGTTTTCTCTTGACACTTCCTGTTTCACCCTACTCTCACTCCACTTTACTTCATCACACCAAATATTTTCACCTGTGCAAAGTGAATACACCTGTGTATGTCCTGTTGCGAGTAGCTCCATCCTTTAGAGGAGCTGCCAGATTATCCTGACTGCATGCTTGACACGCCAGCCAGCATGGTATCTCTGTAAAACCTGAACCAGATCTTTGGATTTGTGTAACTAGCTTTTTCCCTGCCTTGCTCCTCAAAGACTATGAGTAATCTGTGTGATGCCACTACCTTGCCCTTAACAACCATGAGATACATTTATAAAATATTTTTCTGTCTCTCTGGATTACTGGAGTCACTGCCTTTGAATTGAGATTCATGCCTGTGGATGAAGAAGTGTTATTCCATAGTGACTCTGTCTACGAAGCAGGAGCTTTTCCACACACACCCAAGTGATGCTGGAGCCACTTGCACGCCTGGTTCGTTCTGCACCAACTAGCAGCACCCATCCATCTACTTCTCCTCCGCCTGGTTCGTTCTGCACCAACTAGCATTCTCCATTCTCCATTTGAGAGTTACCAGCTCCACTTCCTCCTCGACTCTGGTGCTACTAAGATCCCCGCACACCTGAGATCAGACGCCGACCTGTCCTCATCTTCTGTGCTCGTTGTGTTAATCAAGACTTGTACTCATGACCTGTTATACTGGCCATTTAATTGGGTTCACTTACATTTTTGCAGTGTAGTTTCCACACTGCCCTGATAGCCACCTTGTAAATAAGAAACAGCTTTATTTGGCACTGAAAGGATTAGTGAATCAGTCAGTGGTGGAAGATTAATGCCAAATGTTTACTGGTTCAAAAGCCTTAAATTTGAGGTTGGTTTTTTTTATAATACATGGTAAATTGTTTCACAGCACATTGTTCTAAATTTGTGAACTGTTCAAAGCAAGTGGCACTATGTGAATGCCACACCGGAAACATAACTGACTACAGTTTGTGAAAGAAGTCACTCTGTGAGCCGGTTTCATTCACTGAACCCCAAATCTTTATTAACCACTGCTTGCTCACAAAGATATACGTGGAGAGAGGGAAACACACAGATGGACAGAGGAGAGAAAGAGCGAGAGAGGCAGGTAGGATCGTCACTGTCTGCGGTGAATGTCTGACAGCTGTTACACTTCACTGACTCACATGGCACTAATATTCTGTTATCTTCCCAGCCTTTCTGAAACGCACACACATGCTCACACACATCTACAGGCCTACTGTGTATGTGTGACAGACAGGGTTCAACCTCAGGCTTCAACACCCCTGCTTAAAAAACTATTCAGATACTTTAATACACTCATATACACCTTTACAGATGGAAATACTGTGTTCGTGAATTATTGTTGCAGTGATACCTGTTATGGCTTATATCTTTCTTGTGCCAACCTTTCAGTGGAATTTACAGTGTATTGGATGAAGTGCAATGAGTCCAGTGGGCGTTAATGATGCTGAGCACTACTCTAGCTGCAATGAGTCCAGTGGGCGTTAACGATGCTGAGCACTACTCTAGCCTCTATGAAACAGAGAAAGGTGCAACTTATTTCTCTCTATGCAAGATTCACAGTAACAAGTCTGATCTCAGGTGAAGTTTTCTGCACTCCAGCATTCTTAGGAAGCACTTTCACCTCAGTTGTGTTGTGTTGTGCATTATAGTAATGCATGACTGGATGCTTGTTTCTGAGGAATATACAAGGACCGCCACTGGTCAGGGGTGCTAGATGGACAGAGTTTAGCAAGCTCCTCCTGAGCTCTGTGCTATGATTGGCTAAATGCCTGCACATGTGCAGAGCGTGAGTGAGTGCTTCTACAGTATCTATGTATGTGGAGAGATGAAGAAGTTGCAGATGGAGGAAAGGAGGATGAGGATGGGCTTATTAAATGCTATAGTGTTCTCCTGTGGTACATTCACTATCTACCTCACAGGAGTGTATGTGCAGCGACGGCGCGCAGTTCTCACAGAAAAGCAAACTGTCCCCTTTCCTTTTGCCAGCTTTCCTGTACATGTCCCTTGCTAACTGGAACACCAGGACAAACTGGATGGAAAATCACTCTGACCAAAACACAGATCCAATTTTGCTTCCAGATCTGAGGGGTCAAATGATTAAGTGCCCATTTGAAGGGACGAAGGAATGGAGCCAGACTGCAGGCCTTGTGAGGACACAACCAGTCACAGAGAACATCAGCTTGCTGGCAAACTTACAACAACACCTAAGCCTGTTACCACACTAGAGAAACCAAAGTAAAAAGATTCTCAGGCTGAAAGAAAAACAACATGAGAATGATCAAATTATTACATCCATATAGATATGCAGGAAGAGAAAACGTATATATAAAAATGGCACACTGCAATCAATACTTTGCTGCTTGTATTGTACTGTATATAACAAAAAAAGAAGTATTTACAAAAACCAAGACCCACTGCCATTTGTCAATTTTTCTTTTCTTCTTATTTAAACAGAGCAAAAACATTTTTGGGAAGAGTGGGTGGGAAACATGAATTTTTTTTAAATAATTTTTGCATTTTTTTTCCACCCCCAACCCCATTTGAACCTCCCACTGTCTTGTGGTGGCGTCTCAGGCTGTGGTAGTTTCAGAGTAGTATGGGTGGTATGGCGCAGGAACTGGAGAGGTGGGGACATGTAGGATAAGGTGGGGGTGCTCCTCAGGGTTAGGGTGGTGGTCAGGGGTTTGGAGGTGGGACGTAGAACCTGCTGGGGCTTCTCATTCAATCACTTCTTCTCTAATCTCCTTGTTCCTACGCACCTCCTGAGCATGCCTCTCCTGGAAGAAACACAGATTCAGGATATCATCTTTTTCTCTGCTGCTGGCCCTTTGCTGTTTCTTTTACACTTCATTTTCTTCTTTGGCCTTTTCACTGACAGCTTGATTTATTTAGTCCTCTGTCTCCTGCCCTCCTCAATCCCACCTGAGTAATTATTTATCTCCCAGGCACAAGACTGCACCTTTGTTTTTGTCAGACCCCTAAATGCTAAGTGCTCCATCCAGGAGCTGTACCCTCTAATCCTTTCTTTCTTTGTCTCCTCCACATGTCTTGTTTTCATTATTTTTTTTCCACAGTAAGTTTTTCCGAAATTCTTTTACTCTCCTCTCTCACATGTCCTGTTTACACATTACAAATTTAAAAGGTGTTTTATCAAGTAAACATTTTTCACCTAGCCATTACGCAGTATTATGTACATAGCTCACCGAACTGACAAAGCTAAAGTTAGCTTGCTAGCATATGATCTATTCAAAGCAAAGACTAAAAGAGGTAATGAAATACCTCCTGATATTGATCAAAATGCTGTTTAATAAAGATATGAACAAGGATGATTTTAAATTACTTTTTACAAAAATAACATAATATACACTCAGATTACAAAATGTCAGACTAAATGACCAAATAGCATTGTTTAGCTTAATCAGACACATATTTCCCCTGGTTTACATATATAACTAAAAGACATGCCTACATTTATGAAGGATTGCCATTGATTTTTAATTTATTGTTTGGTTTCCTAAAACAGATCATTTTGGCAGTTATATTACAGATTTAGATGCTACAGTGACCCTGCTACATGTTTGCTAGTAACTGTTTTACTATACACCCTACTAAGGCCTTTACTAGCGAAAACATACCTGAAGATTTATTGGTGCCAGCCGGTTTAGTAAATTCTGAAAATGAAACTAGCCAAAAGTTAAAATGGAAGAACTTTATACTTTGCTGGTGGATTTACAAACATAGCCAATGCAGCTTATTCCAGGACTGTAGCAAACAGTGAGGACGCTGAGGTCATGTCCTCAGGGATTTTTTCTGGTAATCACTGGGTTTTAGTACCCGGGGAGAAATTTATATTTTACACTTAAAAGTTAACACCTGCTGGGTATTTTATTGGCTGATTCTAGTTTGTTATTATTATTACATTTTTGTCCACATACCAACAAATAAAATGTTATATTATTTCCCTGTTTATAAATTAAACGTATGATTAAAATTAATATATTACATGTTAAAATCAAAATAATGTGAATAATTTTGATACTTTATTTTATCACCTCCAGTCCAAATAATCTAGAGACTTGGATTTATGAATCCTGTTCCTCACCTTCTCCTGCAAGCGCTCCATTATGCCAGCCAGGTAGGCCTGCCGGTTCTCCTCAATCTGCTCCATCTTCAGTTGGAGCTTCTCCTCGGCCATGCGGCTGAAGTTGCTGTTCTCCTCCATGGCCTTCAGCAGCACGTCGCGCTCGTGCTCCCGCTTCTCAGCCAGGATCTGGAGTACCTGTGCCTCCTGGGACTGCAGAGGGAAGTGGAGGAGGAGTGACAAGCAGCAGAGAGAATGAGTCAGGGAGAGGGCAGTGATTCACAGAACACCTCTCATTGATTTTTCTTAAAATCTTAGTATGAGTCAGAGCTGCTCATATATTACTATTAAGCATAAAAATGTCATAATGTAAGAGAATGTCTCTCCTTGCCACATTTATCTTCTCTCGGTGTGTACTACAAATTATATAATAATATGCTTTATGTTTGACCTACACTGTTGGACATCTGGTGTTAAAAAAAACTGTCAAACTGTGTTATTGATTGGATGACTGATTTGCTGGTTGGTCGCTGAATATGTCAGCTGGTTCCTCATATTGACATTTGAGTCAATGAGATGCAGAAATCGGCCAGTTTCATGGATGTTCTGGATGCCATGAGAACTGTTGTTTTTACAATATAACAGTAAAATTGTGTAAACTTGATTAGGTTGAATTTCCCCTTTTGTTTTGGGTCAGAACTGGTTTCATTGTGGTATCACAAAACAGCTTTATTACATCTTTTGTGGCTCTTGGCACATATTGAAGCAAAGTAGGATGTGGCAGCTGGGTGCAAAGAAATTGATTGAAAACATCCTTACTCTCCTCCGGTCCTCAGCTGCCTCCAGTTTCTTCTGGATGTCCTCCAGGGAAATGTCCTTCTTTGGGTAACTGGTAATGAGGTGGGCGACATCAGACACAGGGGAGGGCGGCTTCAGGATGACCTCAAAGGCCTGGCCTGAGGCTCGTTTGTTAATGGGCTTGATGTCCATGTCTACACGTGTGTGTTAATGATAAAAAGACAAAGAAAAAAAGCCTCAGTTATCTCTGCATGACTTTACCTTTAGGACGACAAAACAATTGTAATCTTCAGTTTGCTCGTCACGTACCTTCAAAATCACCCATGATGTTTTTGCGGCTCTCAGGGTACAGACAAGAGCAGATGAGTGAAAGAACTGAAATCTCCTTCATCTTTTCTTTGTAAGCTGTGGGGGTAAATTGAAACATATTTTGTTGCAAACTTCCAGTTGCTTGTAAACCAGCATACTGCTAACACACAGAGATGAGATACCATTACCCCACTAACATACAAAAAGAAGAAACCCCAATAACCCACTTCTACTTCCACAGGAGGTCTTTGGTGTAAATATCAAGAGCTTTAGAGGAATAATTATTCATCACATCCCCCAAAAAGAAAACCATCAAAGGGTTTGTGGTGGAGCTGAACTGCCCTGGGTTTTGAGAAGATTTTGCAGCCTTTGTTTTCACCATGAAGGGAGCAGGATTGATGTGCCCATGCCTGGCCTAATTTCCCCGACAGCCAAGTTGTTGCCGTCCCCACAGGATTCTGCACACATCATTAGCTATGCATTTCATTTTGGTCTATTATTTATTAACGTAGCCAGACCAACGCCCTATTGCCTCTGAGCTGTTTTGTGGCTAACACCAAAAAAAAAAAATCAGCAATTAGTTTTTTAAGTAAAAAGCAAAAAACCCAGGATTTACAATCATCTTTGGGCTGTTTCTTCTTTGTCTGTGGCTTATACATCAAGGCTAATAGCTAAGGGTTTAGCTTATCAGCACAACACAGCAATAGGACTGTCCAGCCTGTGGTCCATTTATGGTCCAAAAAGTTAATAGCACTGGAGCAAAGCTGGCAACAAATCATACTTGCTGTATTTGGCAACTTGCACCCTGCTCAGTAGGGAGGGACAAAGGGCACACAGAAAAAAAGCAGCAGATAAAAGAACAACCAACCTTGTCCAACCTTGATTTTTTTTGGCACCTATACCACTCTGTAATGTAAGTCCAGGAGCAGTGGTCCCTGCAGGGGAGAGCAGCAAAAATATCTGCAGCACACTGCAGGTTGTGAATGTCCCTGCTTGTGCACATGGCTGCTGTGTTCTGTCGAGGTACACCGCCTCATGGTGCAGATTTGCATGCCAGCTGTCATAGCACGACACTATCCATCAAACAGAGCGCAAGGCCTGCAGGGCTGAGGCGTGCCACACTGTTTCATGGTCTGCAGCAGGCTACAATAACAAAGCCAGAAATGAGCTTTACTGTGGAAGAGTTTCTCTTTGGTGGAGTACAATATGCAGTGATGATTAATCCAAATCCACTTTTTATAAGTCTATTCCCTGCTCACCCTCTCTTCTTCTCCTTCTCCACTCTTGCATTCTGCCCTGCAGACTGGCAGACGCCATAATAATGTGATCAACTCTCAGATGCAGCTCTCACTACTCTCTGATGGCCTTGTTAACCTACTCCCCGAGGAGGAAATGAGGAAGGGTGAGAACATGGTACAGGCTGAGGAAAAAAAACAAGAAATACTTTGAGCTGAGTAGGAATGGAGATAAAGGTGAAATTTGGCAGTGAGACAAAAAAAATTGTGAGATTTCTCTCAGATTAAATGGAAGAGTGGATGGAAAAATTGCTGGGCCCTTTGGATAGGTTTATCAACACCATCCTGTTATAAACAGAGGATTAAACACCAGTAAAGGGGGCCGCTCCCAGTGGGGCTGTTGACTGCCATCCACTGCCCTGAGGAGGGCTTAATGGAAAAAGCCACCTCATCTTAGATAGCACTTTAATTTGTAATTATCGGACCGTACCATTTCTGCTGACAAGAGGGGGGAACAGAGCTTTTGGAGGGTTGTCATGAGCTCATTATTACTGTGTTTATGTCAAGACCCCAGCAGCCATTATCTGCCACACACAACCCCACTTGACAGCTGAAGACTCAAGCAGTTAACAATTCAGTGGAGCAGGTAATTTGGGTTAAGTGCTAATGGCGCAGATCCACAGAGATTCCTATTTCATGGTTGCCAAGTTCTGGGTGCAACCATTTCTATGCTAAGTAATGTCTTCAAACTGAAAACTTAGATTTATTGTTTAGGGTTGCAACAAACAGTTGTTATAATCAATTAAATTAGCAGATTATATTCTCAATTAGTCATCTGGGTTGAACCATCACAAAATTGTTAAAATATCAAGAAAAATTAAAACCCAAAGATTTTTCATTTGTATTCATATAAAATAAAAAGGCACCAAATCTTTACATATGAGGAGTGAAAACCATAAAATGTTTGACAATGTGATTGTCAGAAAAAAAGCTGCCTCTTCATTTTCTATTGACTGATAAATGAATTGACTGACTAACTGTTGCACATCTCTGGTTCTTTGTTTGGTTTCATTTGAGGTGAGTAAGGTTGGTTTTTACTGTGACTGTATCTGAGTAAATTTAATTTCTTTGTTTTCTTGGAGGATAAGAGCTCACTGTGAACTGAAACTGATCTGTAGCTCTATAATTCAAAACCTTGGAGATATTGCTTTTATATCCCTAATCAAAACATATGAGATTGTGCAAAAATATGAAACTGTAATTCTGTTTCTCCTGAGAGGAAATCTCTTTTGATTCTATAATCCCTGTAGTAATAAGCTCATTCCCAGTGGAGTCAGACATATAAAAATGATAAATGACCCAGAGTGAAATGCGAGGAAGTGTCCAAGCAAATCTGTTGTTGTCAGCTGAGTTTCAGACATGATGGACCAGGTGTTTTTTTCAATAGGAGAATAGAAGACGAGACAAAAGAGACAGGGATGACACAGCCTTAATTTTTCTACTCCACTCCAGCAGGCTGGTTTCAACCAGTCCGCTCTGCAGCCTCACTCTCAGAAAGCTACTCCCCCTGTCCCGACCACAGACACGCAGCCAGCAGACCACACTTCCTCTTCCAATCAGCCAAAGAGCACAGATCATCAATACCTCCTCCCCTACATGCATCCCTCTTCCCCAGCATCATCTACATCCCAAACCTCCTATTTCATCTGTTACCGATGTGTTTTTTCTCTCAGTCCCATCCGCTATTTTTCTTCCACACTCTCTGCATCTTCTGGCAGCTTCAGTTCTGTATTAACCAAAGGATCACATCTCTTTTCTTCCCTTACTGCACTGAACCACAGACTTCATCTCACCTTCCATCTTGTTTTAAAACCCAACCCCCACTGTTATAGGAATCTGCAAAAACATATGGAAGATACCCTTGACAAAGCCACTGTATAAGCAAACTACCTATTAAGGCCCTCCCACACAATGCGACCCTGTTTCACAGCGTTCACTGCCCTCCTGGGCACTTAAACTTCATATAGCAGGACTGGCTCAGCATCTGTTTTAGACACAAAACCCTTTACAGCCAGGCCACCCTGCAACAATATAACCAGAGAAGTATGACTGTATTACCAGAGAGAAATGGGCTATTAAAGAAAACATTATAGCACCCAGGTGATCCAGTCATTACGTGAACAACTATTGGTACATTTTTACAAAAATGCAGTCTTTTGGTTTATAAAGAAATTTGTAAAAAAATACCCATCACAGTTTCTTGGAGCTCCAGGTGATGTCTTCAGGTAAATAACAGTGAATCCCCACATTCAGGAAGTGAATTTTTGGCATTTTTGCTTAATAAATGACTTTATAAATAACCTGTGGCCAGTTATTAAAATAGTTGCCTGTTAATTTCTCTCTACTGAGTAAATAATTAATCACCTGGTTGTTTCAGTTCCAGTCAGTGCATTAAAAGTGCACTATGATGTTCTGTCACAACATATTAAAAGTGCAAATGGGTTCCTGTCAACTTTTTAAACACTGAGGTGATCGTGTTCAATTTCTACAATCTTCCATAAAAATAATTTGTAGATGACATTGAATTTGCCAAACTATGTTAAAATATCTGAACTCTTACCCAGATGTTGATTTTCACAAGTGTGCATATTGCATATACCACCCCTACGAACTGAAGTCACCTCTCCTCCTTATCTTAAAAAGCCAGTCATTTGAACCAGTAATGGGAGGAGGCTGCATTGATCGATGTGGCTCAGTGATAAATCAGGGTGAATTATGAGTCCTGGAGCTTTATGCACATGGCCCATAATGACACTAGTGATGGGGATAATAAGATGAGAATTATAGCTGAACTTGGATATGACCAGTTGCTTGAAATTTATATTACTGCTCGAGCAGCTTCGGTGTCTCTGCACAAAGGAGCAGATTTTAGGGCCTCAGCTGAATGACCACACCTAATTGGATAGGACAAGCCTGGATGATAAGAATCAGGAAACGTGCTTAGAAGCCTTAGTGCATGCAGGTTGTGAGTGCATGTTTATTTGAGGTATCTTTTAGTGTAGGGGCTTTAGGATGTCTTTGTTCATTACTACCCCCAGTTTTCCTCCAAGGAATGAAAAAAATGCAGTCACATGCATATAATGGTATTCATCCCACCTTATAAATTCAGCAGTAAATGTTCATTTACCCATGAAACCGCAAGTATTTTTCTTCTTCCAATGCAGAAGTATTTTATAAGCTAAATTCTTTTCCACAGATTCTAAAATACTACTGGGCTTTGGTAAAAAATAAAAAAGACTCTAAATGAACTCAGTGACCTGCCCAGTGCTGACTGGCATGATGGCTGCTTTCTCCAAAAGTGTCTGCTCCCTGCCCATCCCATTCTGCCTGTCCACAGCTCAAATCATGGAGGAAAGAGGAGGAGGAGGAGGAGGAGGAGAGGTGAATAAATTTAACAGTCAGGGTTTAGTTACCAGTGTCCCTGAACGCATACACCATGCAGGACCCTTATCACTGTCTGTCTGCATGCCCCGCTGTCCATCAAGTGATTAGTCAAACAAAAAATACACAGACTATCTCCTAGACTGTCCACACACACGTTGCACTCTTCTGCCTGTACACACACCCAGTAACACCAACACACTATCTTTATTGTTAAACACGATTATAGTATTCTTTTTCATAAAGCCTGCAGGTCGCATCTAGTGTAAAAAATATCATATCTTAATATGGAAATCCACAGTGACATAAATACAAGGCCTTCCACCTGCCATAACACCAAATCTCATTTCTCCATAATTGACAGCAGTAGTGGTTTTATTATAATAAAGCCTCAACTTCCGCCTGATAATGATTCACTTAAGAACACACATTTATTGTGACATTTACAGCCAATAATCTTCCCAACAGGACTGGAGACTGATCTTCCTAAGACGACATTCATCTTCATCGTCAGTCATAAATTCTTCCCTCGACTGCAAAGCAATTCTGGATAAGGATGCTCTTCTTTCTCTCCCTCCTCTTTCTCAGTCATGCCTTTAGCGGTCACCTACAAAATTGTTTCAGTAGGCTTTACACTACAGTTATATAGGATGGCCTAGTTTTGATAAGGAGATTTGACGCGGAGAAATATTTCCCACCCTGGAGAGCGGCTGGCTCGCTTTGAAAGGACCGAGATGTTGGGTGGGGTCGCTGGCGCTGCATTATGCTGCACGGCTCTGAGTCAGGCGGTAAGGTGCAGGTGCGGCAGGCAGGCATAGACAAAATGCTGCTGTGTGAGGGGGGAAATCGCCTTTCATGAGTTGATATGCTCATTCATTTGGTTTAAAATGAATAAAAATAAAGATGCGTCACTGATATGGCAAACTGAATCCCAAACTAGCTCATATTGATCAGCACTAATCTGAATTCAGAATCAGACAAAAGCCACAAAAATGATTCTTAATAAACAAAATAGAAATTGGAAAGCAGAAAAATGTTGCTTCAGTTTTATAACTTATTTTTTTAGAAGTGACTTGCAAAGGAGTTTGGCCGCTCCCTCTCATCAGCCATCAGCATCCTTTTGTGCCATGGGTGTCGCCACAGCCTCTCAGCATCGCCGAACCTGCGAAGCCGCTGTCATTAAGGAAAAATGTAAAGTGCAAAACTCACCGATTGCGGTTTTAGCCATTCTGTACGGTGGTGCCGGGGCGGGTTGGCCGGAGGAGCGTGTGTCGGTTACTGGATGCTGTGTCTTTGGGTGAAGGGACTGCTGGTAAGGCACTGAGTCAGCAGAGACGAGGACTGCCGGTGCGCACTGGTGGTCTTTTAGGAGCTGCGTCAGGTCAATGGAAATTACTAGAAAGTGACTGGAAGTGTGCGGGCTTATTTTTCAGAATAAAAGCACAATGCCCCAGCATGATTAGGCTTACATAAAGTGACACAGCTGCATTTTACGATCTTAAAAATGTTTTGTTTTGTTTTGTTTTTTTTACTTTAAAACATTTGCATCATTCCTTTTTAAAGTGCTATTTAGATGTAAGTTCATTTAGCTGTAGTATAAGCTCTAACCAGCTCATCCTTGTCCATGCGCACCTCAATATCCACTAGGCTATTTGCGATTTGGCACTGGGCTGTGAAGCCATCCAATAATTTGTGTCATTCACACAACACACGCAGCACATACATTAATATGCCCAATAATTGTAAGAGATTTATTTTGTAATTAATAACAGGAAGTCTCAGCATATAATCAATTGACTTGACACTGGCTCAGCAATGAGCGTTTGTGTGCCTCCTAGAACAGATTGGGAAGCACTCTCCCTTGACGCGCCTCTCCTAACCAAAGCCCTGACAAACCTAATGTCCCCTTGTACTAGAGAGCTCAACCCTGCTGTGAAAGCTGGGTGTTTCCTCTTTGTTCGTCTGGCGATGACCAGGCATCTCTGTGTTGTTCATCTCTCTGCCTATGGAGGTCAAAGAGGAAGAATGGCTCTTGAAAGAACAACATTTAAATTTAGAATACTTTATATTTTACATTTGTACAACATTACGGTTTGAGATTGTGCCTTGCAAATAGTAAGATGATGCTAGTCTGTAAAACCAGGCTGAAGTAGGTTTATCAGTAGTTGTCAAGTCTTCATATATCCTATTTGATGAAACCCAAAGCCTAAAGCATCCTATAGCCTATAATTCATGCAGCAATCATATTGATAATTGCCTCTTTGCAACTAAAATAGCCTATAAGCGAGTGGAATTATTTAAAATAGTTATCACTAGATGGCAGCAAATCTTACGTTATAGCCTATGACAGGGATGGGCAACTGGCGGCCCGCGTCCTCACTCGAAGTGGCCCTCAGATTAATTTCCGAAAATCTTTCAAAAGCTTCCTCCAATGCACAGAATCATTTCCAAATTATTATACAGTTCGCCGATAGATGGCGCTCCCTATGAAAACAAGTGGTTGCTCCGGCCCTTCTTCATTAGCGAGTAAGACAGATAGAGCCATGACAAGCAGCAGAGGTGCAAAAAGAAAAATTGACCAGGAAAATCGTGTCTTTCAAGTAAGATGGGAAACTGATTATTTGATCATAGATTTTAAAGGTAAACCCGTGTGTCTAGTTTGCTTAGAAACGCTATCAGTCATGAATGATTTCAACATAAGTCGCCACTACAACACCTTGCACAAATTTAAATATGAGAAGTATACCACTGCTGCCAGAGCCGCCATTGTGGCCGACCTCAAATCAAAAGTACAAAAACAACAGTATTTTTTTTTTTTTACCAGCGCCACAACCACACAGGAGTCTGCTCTCAATGCGTCTTACGGTGTTGCACTTGAGCTTGCCAAAGCAAAGAAGCCCTTAGCAGATGGCGAACTTATAAAGAGGTGTACCATTGAAATGGCCAAAGCTTTTGGGGACATATAACCTGGTGAAAAACTTTGAAGGGGTCTCATTGTCTCGCCACACAGTGACTCGCAGAGTTTTTGACATTCACGATCATATCGAAGAAAAAATGAAACAAGTTATGTATGACTGCAAGTACTTCTCCTTGACCTTGGATGAGAGTACTGATGTGACGGACGTTAGCCAGCTACTGATTTTTACAAGAACCATTGACATTTCATTTGAAGTGCATGAGGAGTTACTAAAATTGGTGTCGTTGCATGACACCACTTGTCACGATTCGGTTCCGTTGCTTCCTGTCCGGCTTTTATTTTGACATTACTTCCTGTTTTTGTTTCACCTTAGTTTCGGTCTTTTTACGTTCTTCATCACTCACATTAGTTTCACCTGCTTCGTTATTATGTGCACCTGTGTTCACCTCTATTTAGGCAGCGTCCTCCCACAAGGACGCTGCCAGATTGTTCTGGATCCCAGCTCTGACTTTCCAGCGCTATATTCGGTTTTTGGTATTTGTGTTTCTGACTCGGACTGTTTTATTGGATTACTCTGTTCTGCCTTGCCCTCTTATCTCGGACTGCTCATGTGTCTCGGCTTATCGGACTTTCCCTTCGGACTACGCACTTTGGATTCCCCTGGATGTACGTGTTTGCTGGCTCCGACTTGGGACCGATACCAGGGGCACGGACATTTTTAATGCCGTTAATAATGTTGCAAGAGCATACGGGTGCTTTGACAAGCTGTCAGCAGTTGTTACGGATGGCGCACCCGCGATGCAGGGGAGACACACCGGATTTGAAGGGCTCCTTCAACAGAACAGTGCAAACTGCCCTATACTGCACTGTATCATACACCAGGTTAGTAGGCCTAATATTATTATTTGGCATGAAAGACAAACATAGGCTAATTTTAAAGGTTAAATGTAATCTTCATCTATCTCCACAGGAGGCCCTATGTGCCAGGACGCTGGACTTTAGCCACGTTATGGATTTGGTGACTAAAATAACAAATCTCATCCGTGGTGGGAACAGGTCCCTCAGTCACAGGAGGCTTACAGCCTTTTTGGATGACGTGGACGCAGCGTATGGGGATTTACAAATGCACACCGATATCCGATGGATGAGTCGAGGGAAGTGTCTTGAGCGTTTTTTTGCGCTGCGCTCCGAAATACCTGTGTTTTTGGAGGACAGCGTTCGTGGTGATACAAGTGCCTACTGCAGGAAACTCAAAAGACACTGCATTCCTTTGCGACATGGCCTTCCTTACGGACATTACCTCACATCTAAATCACTTAAACACAAATTTGCAGGGGAAACGCCAAAGTGTGTGTGAACTGTATGCACACATGACCGCATTTCAGCGTAAACTAGAACAGTTTAAAGAAGGCTTTTCATCCCGTTTTCTAAACTTGACACACTTTCCCGCCTGTGAGGAGATGCGAAAAATGTCCCTAAGTGCGAGGAATTACTTCACAAATATAAGGCCGACATCGAGAAATTGCAGCATGAGTTCAAGCATCGTTTCCAAGATTTTCACATGATGCAGCCACGAATTATGTTACAAGTTCGTGGACCCCCTCTCTGCTGCTGTCAGCGAGCAACCCTCAGAATTGCAGCTTGAACTCTGCGATCTGTAGTCAGACACATTTTTTTTTTTTTTTCAAGCAAGGCGCAATGAGAAGGGGAATTCATTTTGGAAACTGCTACCAGAGTCCCGTTTTCCCCTCCTGAGAGATTTTGCTCTCAATGATCAGGATGTTTGGGAGCGCATACATTTGTGAAAGCAGTTTTTCAACAATGAAGCACATCAAGTCAAAAGAAAGAAACGGGCTCACGGATGACACGGTTTTTCATCTGATGCGGATTGGGTGCACAGAGTTTGACACTGACATTCAGTCTGTTGTGCACCAGCAGGCAAAGCCCCAGGTATCTCACTTCACTGAGAGAGTCAGGTCCTACTGAAAGCTGTGCATAAGGTAGCATGTATGTGGAAATTAAGAAATAATTAGTTGCACTTTATATTTGGGTGCTGTTTTGCAGTTCTGTGCCATTTATGATTTTGATTTATGAGAGCCTTTGCACTAAAAAAAAAAACTCAGGAATGTGATTATTTTTGTTTCTTCAATCTTTTTGAAATACATTAGAGTATGAAATGTATGCAGTTATTGTGCTGTATGTTGGTTCAATAAACATACAACATGTATGTATGTATGTATGTATGTATGTAAAATGGTAGTCTTCTCTTGTCCATTTTTTTTTGGAAGAGTACTGTCTTATGTGGCCCTCTCGTACCGATGAAGAAAAATTGTGTCCCTCTCCATCATTAAAGTCCCCATCCCTGCTCTAGGTTGTCTGTTCAAGTGTTAGATGTAACTAGTCGCTGCCATCGATTATACCCAAGGTATTTGATAAAGGTTTAGTGTTTTTAGGTTACTGGTTGTTATAATTATGGTGGTGCCATCTTCCTTTGGTGATTCATGTTCAGGAGGAGCTATCTGCAGAAGTTGAGTGCCGCACGGGAAATTGAAGTGCGCATATAAACCATTCTTTACGGCTAGATATTTGTAAACGTTAACTACGTCCGCTTTTCAAAGAAGGACATCTGAGAAGGACTCATAAAAATGAATACAGATAAACGCAATCTAATTATACATACAGAACCTTTAAATATAGCATAACACCTGCATCTTATTCCTTCTAAAATTTAAAACAGCCCTGACCTTAACTGATATTTGTTTCAAAGAAGTTGGACTACAACCTCACAAATCAAACATTTTAACTATATCAAAAACTATTTTCTTATACAAAACAGGAAGTTTTATTTGAAAATTCTCCAAACCAATACAGTAAAACTGTTCGATTCGTAATTTGAGAAGAGATGCATATCATTCACTGTATGAAGCTATGGGCCAGTATCTTTCTATTCCTCCTCAAAGTCCATAAAAAGGGTATGATTTTATACGAACATTGGACATTTAACTAAAAATTTTTCTAAAATGGTATAGTACAAATACTTCACGTTTTGTGAAATTGTAGCCTGCCTCCTCTAGAACAGAAAATCAGTCCCTGTAAGTATTGACTAAACTGTTTTTATGCAGCCTCCGTATCTACTACAAGAGCTATGTTCTTATACAATATTTGACATATAATTTTAAAGTAAAAATACTTTGTTCATTGTGAGGGTGCAGTCTGCCTCCTCTAGAACAGAAATTGTTTTCAGGAATTATGGACCATTGTGGTTTTATGCAGCATCAAACTCCAAAAGAGAAGCTATTGCCTCTTACTAATATTTGAATTTAATTTGAAATTTCTCCAAAATGGCACAGTAAAAATACTTCATTTCTTGTGAGCTTGTAGTCTGCCTCCTCTAGAAGAGGAAAAACACCAGTCCCTGTCAGGAATTATGCACTGAAGTGTTTTTATGCCACTTCAAAATGCACAACAAACACAATTTTCCTATATAAATATTCAACTTTTAATTTGAAATTTCTTCAATATTCATTCATTTTCTACTGCTTAGTACCTGAACGGGGTCACGGGATTTCTTCAATATGGTACAGTAAAAATATTTCATTCCTTGTGAGGTTGTAGTCTCGCAGGTGTAGAACAGAAAAACATCAGTTCCTTTGAGAACTTATGGACAAAACTGTTTGCAACCTCAAAGTGTACAACAGATACTGGACATTTAATTTGAAACCTCCTAAATGATGTAGTACAAAGGTTTTATTGTTTGTGAGGTCGTATTTTAACTCTTGTGGAACGTATAAATATAATGGCAGGACTTTTTAAAACTCAAGAAGGAATAAGCTGCACGCGATAGACTATATTTACGTTCTGGGTATAATTCGATTGAATGCATTTGTCTGCGTTCATTTTCACGTGTTCCTCTCAGATACTTTACTTTGAAAACCGGACGTAGTTAACGCGTTTCCAAATACCGTAAAGAACAGTTTATAGGCGCACTACATTTTCGCGTGCGGCACATGTGCAGTAGGGCCGACCGCCCCTCCGCATTTTTCCACGGAAAAACGAACGACGGCTGACTTGATTGCAATTGCGGACGACGTTAGTTTAGCCAAAGTTAGTCGCACATCTAAAAGGCGCTATATATGCTTCTGCTTCCTCCACGGGGGAAAAAAACACGCAACAGCGGTATCCAGTGTCTCCTGTATGTTTGATACGCACATCATCTCTTTTTCAGTCTCTCGGAAGGTGTTAAATGGTACGTAGAAGCGCGGCTTCTATTAGAACCAAGCATTGCTGCATCTCAGTCGTACATTGTTAGCTTGTGTATCTAAAGCATCGTGTGTTTTACTGCTTGCATCTGAAATATTTGTGTTGTATTAGAGCCGCGCACAGCGACTTTATGATTGACGCTGTTCAGATGGATAGTGTTTGCTACGGAAACGTGGTTTAACCGACACCGCGGTTTCGTGTGTTTGATAGCTAAACTTAAACAGTACACCGCTTATTACATGTGGTGATTTTTAGTGCGTTAGAGCGAAACACGAGCGGGTGATTAGGCTGCTGTGACGTATAGCTACATTAATTACTGTTAAAGATTTCAGTCACACGCGTTGAGACACAAAAGTAGTGAATGTTTGACGTCCCCATCATGTGTGCGCTCAGGCTATAGTATGTTGATTTGGGTCAGACAAATGACAGGAAGTTATTTCTTTGTTGTGTAACTAGCTGTGCAGCTAACAGTGAAGTTTGGTAACTTAAAGCGCCTGTATCCACGTTTTCCTTAAGAACACGGGATAAATAAACGGCTAAAGTAGCTGTGACTGGAGAATATAGCGCAATCCTTTCCTCCACAGCAGCCATATTGGCAGAGCAGATGCTGCCTTCATTAGTGGAGGAATGGGACTTGTGGGGCTTGTCTCTCAGAGCTTTTATGTTACTCTGGCAATGGCCCAGCAAGTTGATCTTCTTCTGAGATAATGGTTGTGCTGAAAAGACAAGTGTAGCTTATTTTCCCAGATGAGACCGAGCTTACACTTCTCAGATCTGTCAATGAGGGCTAATTGCATGAAAGAAAAGCAGGCTGAAAGTGGAAAAGAGACACTTGTGGGTAAAAATCTCATGCTTAGTAAAATGTAGTTTGTGGGAGTATGCCTGAGTGAGGTAGGAATAAGTGGCCTGTATAATTAAAAGTGGCTGAACACAGTATGAGCCTGATTTAAAGACATACCCCAATTTTCACCGTTTGTCTTTTTATTTTTTTATTTTTAGAAAAAGACTTTTTGAGGGTGGGAAACACTTTCACATCTCTCTAAGGAGAAGATTTCTTATTAAAACCTTTTCTGTCATGGAGGTGGAATGTGGTAATGTGCAAAACCCACATTTATGTGACTCACAGACTCGCACACTTTCCCCTTAGGCAGATACTAGGAACTCATTTTAATTTCGCATTCATTTATTTCCTCCATGGCAGCAAATGTATCACGGGTCTTCAGAACCTCTGCATGTTAGACTGGATGGCTGACTGACTCTGACTCACTGTAATTGGACTTGAACCCTCGCTACCTTAGCAACTCTAAAGCCATAAACAACTCATAATTCAAATACTGTAATTACACTAGTGATCTCTAAATTCGAAAAGCTTTTGATGTTGTCAACACATAATTGTCAAGAAGATGACCCCCACTTTTTAAACCCTAGTTTCATATATAAAAAAAGGAAAAAAAAAAGAAATGCTCCTATATCAGGGCTAGTGCTGTAATTTTGCCTGATTAAACCTTTCCCTATATTTAAGGGCTAATCTAATGACACAGACTGGTTTCATGTAGTCATTTCACAATTGTACTGTTCTGCAAGAAATGGGGCACAATGTGAACTTTGGAAGGGAGAAATGTCAAATCAAATCATATCAAATTTTATTTGTATAGTGCCACATCACAACAAAAGTCATCTCAGGACACTTTACAAAGTAAGGTCTAGACCTTAATGTTATCAGTATTATTACATAGGGAAAACCCAACAAATCCCCCTTGAGCAAGCACTTGGCGATAGTGGGGAGGAAAAACTCCCTTTAACGGAAGAAACCTCCGACAGACCCCGGCTCTTGGTGGCCGGCCTTCTGCCTGTATCTGTTCCTAAAGCACAGAGCAGATGCAGTGTGAATAGGCACTTTTCTTTTGCTGCTCAGTTTGTGTGAATCAATATTGCAAAATACATTCATTGTGGAATACAAAAATGTGCAGTCAGTAATCAGTAAATTTATTTTGATTGTCTTTGGTTGTAAAGAGGGTCATGAACTGAACCAGGAGGTGGGATGTTTGGCTTGACATCAAGAGTTTTAAAGTCCCCATGGCATCAGAAGCCTTATTTTATGTACCTCGTTTAATGCTGTCGCCCTTTATCTTATGGCATTTGATTTGATAGGTTGCCGGTTAAAAGCCCTGGTTGGTTAATTGCTACATCTTTTGTCTGACAGGTTATTCAACTTTGCCAGTGTTAAGTTTTGTGTAGGTATCTATCTCAAAGGCTTAGGTTGAGTTATTAAATTAATATAGCTACAATATTAATGGTAACATTTGTTTCTAATAACAATATAAAAAATAACTATATATATATATACAGTGCCTTGTGAAAGTATTCGGCCCCCTTGAACTTTGCGACCTTTTGCCACATTTCAGGCTTCAAACATAAAGATATAAAACTGTAATTTTTTGTGAAGAATCCACAACAAGTGGGACACAATCATGAAGTGGAACGAAATTTATTGGATATTTCAAACTTTTTTAACAAATAAAAAACTGAAAAATTGGGCATGCAAAATTATTCAGCCCCCTTAAGTTAATACTTTGTAGTGCCACCTTTTGCTG